TAGAGATGATTACATTATATCAGATCTCATCATGGGAGGTGTCTATGTCCTAACTGCTAAACCACTTAGAATCATGGTTCAGTCAAGCTGACAAAGTTAACTATCAATACCATTATCACAGCAGCTGCTTTGTATGATTTCAACCTTTTTAAATTTGTTGAGATTTGTTATATGTCCTAGCATGAAGTCTGTTCTCAGAAATGATACATGTGCACTGGAGAAGAATATGTATCATTCTGATCCTGGGTGGAACATTCTGTATATGTATAATTATAGCTGTTAGGTCCAGTTGGCTTAAGGTTTTATTTAAGTTTTCAGTGTCTATAGTGATATTCCTTTTATGTGTGTTGTCTGTAACTGAAAGTGATGTGTTGAAGTTCTGTACTATTATTACGCTTTATCTATTTCTCCTTTAATTTAATATTAGTTGTATCTGTTTCTTGTATTTTGGTGCATTGCTGTTAAGTGCATATATATTTATAATTGTTATGACTTCTTCTTAGATTGACCCTTTTGTTATTATGTAATGTTCTTCTTTAAAATTTAAAAAATACAAAAATTATGTTAAAGTCTGTTTTATCTAACTTTATAGTCATCCCTGCTCTTTTTGGTTTGATATTTGCATGGAATATTTTTCTCCAACCTTTTAATTTTTGTCTGTTTGTGTCCTTATGTCTAAGGTATGTTTCTTATAGGCAGGAAAAGGATAGATTATGGGTTTTTTGAAATCCAATCTGCCACTCTCTGCCTTTGCCATTTGCAGTTTGCATTTAAGGTTATTACTGAAAATAAAGTGTCTAGCTCACTCATTTTGCTATTTGTTTTTTGAGTGTTTTGTACCTTCTGTTTTTTTTTTCTTATGATTTTTTTCTGTTTTTGTTTATATTTGGCTACTTGCTTATGATGAGGTTTTTTGCTAATTTCCTTTTTCTCACTGTTTCTTCTTGGTCATTTCTTAATGGTTACCACATATATTCCATTACATAACTTAAAATTGCAACAATGTTTAACCTATGAACAATAGTTAACATACAACCTTAATATAATAAATCTATTTATTGACTATGCAAAGGCATTTGATTGTGTGGATCATGACAAATTATGGATAACATTGAGAAGAATGGGAATCCCCGAGCACTTGAT